AGGACGGGTAGAGGCAGGAGTTGGGTAATTTGTACTGTGTGTGGGAGTTTTCACGTCTTTAGCTGCCTACATTGATTAAATTGCAGATTCACACATGTGATTATATACTACATTACATTTATATACTCTATGAGAAATCAATAAGGAAGTTACTGTTTTTCTTTGCAATAGATTTTAGCAATCAGAATTTACAAACATTTAATTCCATGGATTCTGAAAAGGCTAAAGAAAAGATTCACCTAAATTAGAGTTCATCTTCATCAATATTTTTGGCACTAGAACTGTGCTAATTCATACTCAAAACACATTTTTCAAATCTGCTGAGAATCAGCAGTGTTTTGTCCTCAAAACAGTGTTATAGTTGCACAGGAAATAAAAGTTCATGTTGATCATTTTACTGACACTTTATTCCAGTCATTTCAGCTTTTCTCCCCTGCTTATATAGACCTTTGCCAGGAAAAATCTAATATTAAGTTTTGTAAATTAATCATTTATGAGTTCTCTGGATTCTTGAAAATATTAATTTCTCCTCAAATTAACTTCATTTGGAAGTGATGAACATTCTGTTAGTTGCCTTGCAATCACTTTGTTAACTGGCTCAGGGAAATCACCTCAGTAAGCCAGTTGGCTCTGTGATGTGTCTGGGTCGTCAGAGCTGGTTTCTGTGGCATCACTTCAATTGCTTGTTCCCCACATAACACTGTGTCTTTCTCAAAACTGTTGATCCCACAGGCCTGTTAAGTCAGAAGTAAAAGTATGCTACTGATTCTGTGTCTTTTTTTGCCTGGAGGTTCTGAAGAACCAATCCTTACTTACAATGGAATCTGTCAATGGACCTTGTTTTTCAAGATTCTGCAGTAGATGAGAAAAAACAAGGAGATAGAGAAGGCCCTGGTTCTAACCAAGTATCTGTCTGATGGAAGAGAAAGGAAGAGAATGTGAGGACATTATCACCAGCATTAGTCATCTGCTATTGTCAGAGGATTCATAATTACCCTTAAGCACTTAACATGTACATTTTATTGTAAAGCAATGAAAAGACAGTTTAAGAAAAGAGTGCGAAAAATCTATTTACTGAGACTGATAACCTCTCCATAATGTTCATCAAAATGCAGGTGATGATGGGTAATAGATTATATACATGTAGGCATGGCCAGACTCTAGATTACCCTGTGTGAGGAGTCAAAGAGTTTTAGTCTTTTTGGATTTTAGTCTGGACTTGACTACCAACCAGTTTTTTGACTGGTCATCATTCTGAAACTCAGTTTACTTATCTATGTGAAAAATAATACCTGGCCTACTTATCTCACAGAGTTATTATGGGGCTCAGGTGCAAACTTCTTTTGTAAAGACAGCTTAAGGAGTGCACATGTCAGTCTAAGCCATTCCTTTTGCTCTTCATTTTCAGCCATGTGTGTTCAGTATGAATTTTATGGGGGCTTAGACTGCTGGTGGTGAGTGCCTTAGGTATTCTGTGTCATACATGAAGTCTTTTCAATTCAGCAGAACCTGCCAGAGCTTATGCTGTACTGGCTTAGCTTGAGTGTACCAAGGTCATCTCAATACTACAATGAAACATGAGAGTAGAGTTTCTGTAAGATCTGTAAGGTTATAATCTATTTGATAAAGTAGGATCTAATAATAGAATGTAAACTCCTAGAGTTCAGGGATTGTACCAGTTTTGTATTTGTATCTCTAGTGCTTGACACATAGTAGGCATGTAATCAGTGTTTGTTTGGTTGATTATCTAGCAGCTGAAATTTGCCTCCTGTTGTCCTTTGTGTTTTCCCCTTCTGGTGTTCTCTGCAAAATCAGCAGTTCCCCACTTATCTGAAGGAAATCTATAGTTCCAGTTGGATGAGATTCTAAGTTTGGTTTTCACCAAAATATTTTGCTATAACACAAGATAATGTGTTTTGCTAATAGGATATATTTTTTTCCTTTGGTCTTGGCAAGTGAAATACAATATATGACTGGCTCCTTTTTGCCTCCTTTTCTGTTACAAACGATTTCTCTCACATTTACTTTCTCTTCCATATTTATTACTCTGGTTTATTGTCAGTTTGGTCATCAGTATGTCATGTGTAGAAAATGGCATGATTCATATCTCTGATTGCTCCTACTTTTTTCTCTTTAAATGATGTTCCACAATACCAGATCATACACAAATAAGATTCTAGACTCCATTGGAGTTTTTGTGGTTTAATCATTTTGTATTGATTTCAAAGTTCTCTGAATTCATCCAGCAATAAATATTTTATCCAAAATAAAATAATCAAGTTCAAGAATAAGATATTCTCTACACACACACACACACACACACACACACACACACACACACACACACACCCTTACACCTTGAAATCCTCATTTGAAGGTATGCCTAACTTGGTAGACCATCATTTTATAGTAGTTTTGGTAGGATTTTCTTAGTAATTTGAATTGGAAACTTCAGTCATGACTTGGTATTTTTAGATGTGAACTAACCTGGAACATTCACTTGTCAGCATTTTCACATAAATGTTTTCTATATGAGTCTCTAAGATAAAAGATGGTTGTGTTCTTTAAATAAATTATTATTATTATTAATTTTTAGTTTTCTTGATGTTTTCATAGCATTCTACTGGTATGAGACAAGATTTAGATAAGACCAAGTCCCTACACTAACAAAGTTTATAGTCAAGTAGAGTGATAAGAACTCCATCCATTAATTAAGTTTGAGTAGTTTAATTTTAATATCTCATTGTCCAGAAATGGATCCTCTAAAAGACGAAAATTTATGTGTCAGAGTAACAAAGATGTGGTAATACTGCAGAATGTTCCCTTCTTAAATCTCAGAACTATTAATACGTCTAATATTGTGTTGTTGGCCTGATGCCAGAGAAAAAGCAAAATCATATATCTAGACTAAAGACCAAAGTAATTTCTGATGAGTATTAAAATAGAGAACTTTCACTCCTATACACCTAATATTGTATATTTCTTGAATGAAATACAGTTTAGAAAAATGTGTACCTCAGTTACAGCTTTTAAATATATAATCTGAAATCTTTCCGAAATATTTTGAGACAAATTTGGCAGAACCTTTATTTTGTAAATTGCTTGGAATTTCATGTAGGTGTGTACATAATTTTAGAATCAGTTGCAGATGAAAGTTTATGGGTCTTCCTTGAGGGGGGAAATATTTTCAGTTTTAAAAAAAGCATTTATTACTGCTGTATTGCTAACCATGAATTATTATTCATTTATCATTGTTTCCCCATGAGGTTGCTGAATGCTGCTATGCAACTAGATATTCTAAATATGAAATTTGATTTAATATTTTTCATTATGTATTTTTTATAACTGCATTTATTCTGAGAAGGATTCAAATGTGCTACTAAGTATTTTTTTCCAGTTCCCATTGTCATTAAGCCCTGAAAACACACATGACAGTATATCCTAAACTCCTATTCTTTTGAGGACTAATTAGTCAAAATATTTACCAAACACCCACTATATTCTAGGCAGACCAATACAATGAATGAAAATAATCCCAAACCCCAAAAATTTACATTCTACAGGGCGAATTGTGTGTGTGTGTGTGTGTGTGTGTGTGTGTGTTTCTACAAGGGTAGGACTCGGGCTGGGGGGTGATAAGGACTAGACCTTTGAGTTATATTGCAGTGAAAGGTTAAATGACTTGTCCAGTGTTGCATTGTCAGTATATGTGTCAGTTAAGATCAAATGTCAAGTCTTTCTGGCTCCAGGAACAGCTTTTTGTCCACTGTGCCTCACAGCCTCTATATAAGTATGTACAAAATAAGTATAAAGAGAATAAAAGTAATTAAGTATAAAGTAGTTAGGGAAGAGCATTAGCTGTTGGGGTGATCACAAATGGCTTCACGTAGAAAGGAGTGCTAGAGATTCATCATGAGGCAGAGGTGAGGTAGTATGTTCCAGATACATGAACCAGTCCTTTTAAAAGCAGAGACAGAGGATTACATGAGAGAAACAGAGAGAAGGCCAGTTAGGCTGCATTGCAGAGAATGGTAGGGAGGATAATGTATGATGTGGCTGAGAAAGGTTGAAACCAGGCTGTGAAAGGCTTTAAAAGCTAGACAAAGAAATTCATATTTTATTCAAATGGCAGTAGGGAACCACTTGAGTTTACTCAGTTGGGGAATAGCATTTTTAATCTGGAAATCACTTTGGAGGGAGAAGAGATTTAAAACTGAGACCCCTGTTAATAAGAAGCTATTGCAGTGATCGAGGCAAGAGGTAATGTGTGCCTGACCTAAGGTTGTAGCTTTGTGAGCAGTAGAAAGGGTTGAGGTACAGGATATGTTGTGAAGATTAAAATAGCGACTTGACAACTGGTTGAGTATATGGGATGAGGAGAATTGAGGAGTTCAGGATAATACTAAGGTTATGAACCTGGAAGACTAGAAGGCTGGGTAGAAGGCTTTGGTAGAAGTATAAAAGTTTGGAAATATAGAACCTTTTTAGAGAAAGATGAATGAGTTCTGTTTAGGATGTCTTAAGGTTGAGATGTCTCCAGAACATCCAATTTGAAATGTCTGATAAACATTTGATAATAGAAAACCAAAGGTCAGGGGATAATTTGAAGGTGGAGATACACACACACACACACACACACACACACACACACACACACGTGCGCACACGCACACACATACACATAGCTATCTATATTTATATCCATGAGGCTACCTTGAACTGACAGACATTTGGAATATGTCATCTTGTACTGTTACCTTCATAATTTTGCTCTTCTTGCTTAACGATTGTGATACCCATTTATAGCATCAAGGTATACTTTACTTCAAAAATAATATTTAAAATAGTATACAAACTATTTATCAAACTGGTTTTTAGAATGTTATGTTATTTATGATATAATAATTGCTTTATGATTACATTTTAATGATATTAAGATGACATAAAAATTTCCCTGAAGTAAATTTTAACTACTTTGTTTGTGTTCTATCTGCCTCCAGGTAATGCTTTCCCATGGACAATCAGTTTGTATCATTTCAGCGTTTACACCCTGCTTGGACACCAACTGACACTCGGGTTAGTACAGCCAATGGGTTGTACATCTACTCTGGCTGTCACTTCTCAAAAGCTGGTTGCCGTGGGGCCCGAATCCAGACATTCATTTGTTGTCTGTCTCCATGTTGACCTAGAGTCACTTGAGATAAAATGTTCGAACCCCCAGGTTGGTACATTTAACTGATTTATGAAAGGAAATTTAAAATAACTTGATTTAAGTACAATTGTTTTCCATTTTGTTGAAGAGGTTCTTTTCTATTAAGCATCTTATATTTTAACTGGGCCATCAAGATCAGGGTGGTTAGATTAAGATTTGCTTTGAAGGTCTCTCAAGTTTTGTAATTTAAACTCTTCTGAAAATGTAATAGCTACAGCATAAATGCATCTTTTGGCTGATGGATTGAAATCAGTTGCAGATGTAGTTTTTAAATGTTGAAGAACCACTTTACTGTCACTCTGGATGTGACTACTGAAGTGATAAAATGTAATTTTCAATTACATTCTCACTCAGACCTTTTTTGGTTCAACATCCAGTGCTTTCACATAAGTGATGGCATATTTTGTTTTGAAAGGCACTTCTGCCCTTCTCAAGATGGTTATTTGTTAGACATAGGCCAAGTATATGTTCTCTACATTTTGATGACTAATTAAGTTATATATCACCCAGGCTTGCCCAAGTTATTTAAAACAGTTTTCTGCTTTATATTTTTCCACGTATTAACTGGATTCCTAATTTGATTATCGAAGCTAAGCTTTATTTGAATTTACTTCTATGTAATGTTAAAAAAAAATTCTCTTTAGAAAACACATCTCAGTTTGAATAAATGTTTATCCCACTGTTAACTGCCATTCTTTCTGATGTAACTTCAATTTGAGTGAGATATTTGGTGACCTTTTTTTTTTTTAAACTGATCTTTTCCTCTTTGATTTGATTTCTTTTGTCATACTCCCTTTTATTTTTATTTTTGTTGACTTAATCAGGTGTGCATTTGGAAACATCCAATCTTTCCTGTTAAACTCTTGGATTGTACCTTCTCATAATGAAGCTAAATGATTTTATTTGAATGCAACTTTCTAATAAAATATCTGTTGTTTCATAAAATCCAGGAAGCTACCCATTGCTTGTAAGAACAAAAATAATTTCTTTGAGAATCTGTTGTTAAATATTCTTCCCCCATGTGGGATATTTATTTGTTCCATTTAGATGGAAACTTGTCTGAGCATTGCTGTTTCATCAGGAGACCATCATGAATCTGTCTCAAAAAAGGCTTCTTCTGACATTCATTCCCCTCTGCTAAATTTTGCTCTATGTATACTACCACCATTTGCAAAGAAGAGAAACTGACCCTTTTTTTTTTTAAGTCTAGCGAATCACTAGAATAGTAACAAAATGAAGCCAAGCAGATATAAAAGTTGGGAAAAGACATTCCATTATATTTCCCAAGTAGGAGCTGAAACAGTGAGTATAAAAATGCTGAATAGCCACTATTGATGCAAAATACCCTTAGCATGTACACAGGTCACAGAGATCGTCAGGGTAGTTTGTGGGATTAAAGAGACATGCGTAGCTACAAGAAAAACATAATTGAATTTGCCTTGTAAATGACTGAGAAATTTTTCTCCCAGGTTTCTCTAGAGAGGCAGCTCTTTATAGCTGGTCTGCCTCTCTGGCCATAGTAGTTTGAGGGTAATGAGGAATTTGACAAGAGTTTTTAAAGGCTTCGGAGAGAAGAAAAAATTATTCCCTCTGCTCTGCTTCTCTCCCATACTCTGGCTTTTTCTTTTTCTTCCACCCTTAAAAACCTCTATCTTTGCCCCCCTCATGGCTACAACCTACCTAGGTCTAATTACTTCTCCCTTTATCGCTTTCACTTATTGCTTTAGTACCATTCCCTATATGCATTTCTGTTACTTCCTAAAAGGAAAGCAATCTGACAAAACTAACACATCCTAAAGTGTGGATCACTGATGATCATCTCTACCTTCTTTTAAGTGATTGCTTTTTAATTCAAATGAGTATCTAATTGGTAGAAGTTCACCATTGTTGGGAGAGGAGAGAGTAGCCCATTCAATTCCCTCTACCTTTATGTAAGCTTCTTACAAATATCTGTTGTGTCTTAGTTATTTTTATAGTTTGGGGAAACTACATGCAGTCTAATACATGCAGTCTAATACTCCAGTGAATCTGTGTTTTCATCAGTGTGAATATTCCTGTCTAACATGTGGATATTTTGTAACTCTTGTCATCTTCCAGTAAATTGGCTGCGGGGTTGGGTTGGGAAATAGGACTTCCTTTTGTTCTCTTGATTTGGTAGAAACCAATTAACATGTAGAATTATAATAGCTCTTAATGCACTATTAGCTGATTTTTCTGTGCATTGTGCATAATAGATACTACTGAATATCTGGTAAATGAATATAAGGCCAGCCCTTGTAGGGGAGAGAACAGAGTGTTTGTGAGTGCCCAGCTCCTTCCTTCTAGTTTAGGGAGAAAGGAAGTGAATAAGAAATTGCACAAAAGTTATAATAGCTACTATTTATATAGCACTTTAAGGTTTGCAAAGTGCTTTACAAACAGCTCGCTTTTATACTCACTGCCGTTCTAGAAAGTATTATTATTATCACCCCCATTTTAATTATGTGGAAATTAAGGCCGAGGGATGAGATGGCTCAAAGTCACACTAATAATAAGCTATCCTCACAGCTAATAAGTATCTTCCTTACAGTCCGTTCTCGGTACTCTAACTGTGCACTAACCAGCTGCATCTAAACATAAAACGAATATAGCTACAACATAAACTTGTTCTGAGACCCGTGTCAAGATACCTACATTTGTATATAATTCAAGTAGCTGAAAGATGGCCTTTGGTGGGAAGGAAGACAACAAAAAGTATGGAAGAATGCAGTCCCTTCCTTTTTCTAGAAAGAATCATGAAGGAGCAGTTAGCTATTTCTTTTCCCATACTTGCCTCCTCTGTGTGTAGAGCCTAAGATCAGTTGGCCTTGGTTTCATCTTTCATTTTCCATTAATAATGGGAGACAGCTCATAAAACAGGAGAAAGAGCTCCCCTACTCTAAGCCAAGCCTCCTTTAGAATCCAGCTATCCATAGTGCCCTAGCTTCTAACAAATGAAAGGACTGCCCATCTAAAGAAGTTGTAGCCTGGGTCCACCTGAATTTCTAAGAGGTCCAGAGTGACTGCATATATAATGATCATTTTAACAGAATCATGATTAGACAGTAGTATATTTCAAAGGTGATTTTTTTTTTTAAAGGAAGAATCTGGTCAACTAGTGTTACAGGCAGAGCTGCATTGGGTATTTTGGTCCCTTACACAGTGCTCTGGGAGCAAATTAACCGGTTCAGGATCTAAGCCTCAGTTCAACATCCTCAAAAATCTAACTTAATCAGTTTACTTGTTAGTGATCAGGATTTTGAAAGCTCAGTTATACTAACCAAACTCACATGAGACTGATTTATAAACCAAAATCCTAGTTTATTTATAGCAGAAGGTGGCAGGATAAATGATTCCATTATATACATGATACCCATTCTGGTTGGATAAGACCTATTCAGGAGATCGAATTACAAAATCTGCTTCCTCAGTGAGTATAGGATCTGAGCTAAGAAATTTGGATTTTCTGTTAAACTTGGTTAATTTGATCCATTGTCTCCTCTTCTAAGAATAGGTCATAGTCTTCTGAAATCATAGGGAACTTTCTTCTATGGACAGTGGCAGAGATGCATTGGGCACTTCTTTTTTCTATTTCTTTTTTATAGGTTTTTGAAATGACAACTTTAACGTGTATTAGTTATATTGAGAGACAAGTTGGTATAGTGGAAAAAATAATGGCTCTGGAGTTGGTGGGATGGGGTTTGATACCTCCCTATTTCTACATGGGCAGACTTTCTTGCCCTCCATTTGCTTATTTCTAAACTGAGATGGTTATGTGAAATAATTTCTTCCACTTCTAAATTTATGATCTTGTGTTATAATTTTTTAATCAAAGTTTGGTTATTATTAATTGCATTTTAAATTAGTGTTTCCTTTTTTGGGAAGAGACCCTAGTGTCATCAGCATTTAGCAATTAAACATTTCCTAGGATGGCTTGTGTATAGTTGGCTTTTGATTTTTGTTCTCAGCCATTGGGGTGATTTTTTCATGCCCTCAAAATTTCTGGAGTTTAACTTTACTTGTAATTTGCATCGCACGATGCACAACCTATAGATATATCATTAAATGTGTGCCGTATTAAGATTTTTGTTTGTGAAGCATGGTTGTCATCTCCCAATTATAAAATAATTAGAAAGAACATTGCTAGGCACAAAAGAGTGTATAAAACTCCATTACACGTCTCTTTCAGAATGCTCAAATAAATGTATCACTCTAGGTTTCTCTGGGATCTTATGTTTGTATTTCATAATTCCTACTTTGTTCTCTTTGTCTTTTCATCAGAAATTGTTGGAAGTCTTGTGTTCTGTTAAAGATCCAACTTTGCAGTTTAAGTTATTTGTAGTTCTAAGTTTGGATCTTTTATCTCTTGGCTTATTGCATTCTCCTTTGACTAATAGTAGAAGCTGCTGGTCTTTTGTGATCCTGACTGTAGTTCCTTGGTGCTTAAACTCCTTTCATGATACTTAAAGTATTTTTTTCTATGATGTGGGAGCCTTGAATTTTGGCTATGATATTTCTGGGTCTTTTATTTTGGGCTTCCTTTCAACAGGTGATCAGTGGATTCTTTCTGTTTTTTTTTTTTGTTTAAATTTTTATTTTTACATATGGAAAAATCAAATATACATTTAACCCAATTTGGTTGCAAGTTCCTTAGCTTTTGCTTTTTCCGGTTTGGAAACATGAGCCAATGATTTTGGACCCAGAACATTGCCACCCCAGTGATAACGGATCTCATCATATCTGTCGTTGTAATTGGTTTTGATGGCTTCTACCAGCTTACCCAGGGCTCCCTTATCTTCAGGATTAACCTGTGTTAATTATACAATTCTTTCTTTGAACTAAGTGACCCAGTCTGGCTCTACCTTTGATAATACAGGAAGAAACCTCCATTTTTTGTCAAAAGGCAGGTAAGAAAAACACTGGCTCAATGTGGTCCTTGTCACGTGCAGTCATTACCAACTGTGTTTTCTTGTTTTCTGCCAGGGTGATTA